CCTTCCCTTCAAATCAGCCGGCAGCCACCTTCTTCCTCGTTCTCCAATCACCACCACCACTAGCATCATCGACCATCACCTCCATCTTTCTCCGATATCTTCATCTTCGATCATCCTAGAACAAGAAAAATGAAATGATGAAGTCCATTTTCAGATTTGGAAGTTTGGGTTGCCGACAGCCGCGCAAAAAGGACAAAAACACAGAAATCCCTTAACCATTCCTGTGGCTCAGCACCCACCATGCCGGCGAGTGAACAGCGGAACAGGAGCAATTGAAGTCGGATCTGTCGATGGGGAATGGTGGTGAGTGTTATGCGCGATGGCAACGACGGTTAGAAAATTGCAACTCAGCAGTTTGTACTTGAAGGTCGGAGATCCTTCTGCAATCGAAAAGCAATCCATTGGCTTGTAAAAAGACCAGGCCACTTCTTTTGCAAAATTGGCCCAAAAACCCTCACCATCGGGCCTTCCACAGTAGATGTGAATTGGATTGGGTGAGGTTTAGGTCCATTTTGGTATAGAGTTTGGGTTTGGTGCTGGGTAGAAGATAGGGTTTTTTTTGTGAGGAATATAAATAGGGGTTTTAGGAGCAGAATGAGAGGTTTTTTTCGGTTTTGAGTTGGGTATTGAGAACGGCCGCAGAAAGAAGAGTTCTGTTAGAGAGAGGCGGTGGTTTGGGAGGAGATTTGGGTCTATCTTTGTAGGTAATTTTCTGAACAGAGGAGTTTTCTGGGAATGGTGGTGAAGGGGACGAGGGGAGCTTGTTCCGTGGGTGTGATCCCTCCTATCAGATCTGGATCTCGCTTCCTAAAAAAACTCTGCTGTGGGTGTCTCTTTTATTTTGTTAATTTTCTCTGTATTTTCTTAGATTCAATGTTTAAGTTTATATGCATTTACTGGAAAATGAATGAGAATCAAAAGTTGTTCAGTTTATTATGCGTGTTCCTTTTTATGTCGTTGAATGTGATTATTTTATTTTTCTTGTGATGAATTATTTTTTAATGACATGAACCCTAGATCTAGATTTAGTTTTGTTTGATGTTTGATCTATTTCTTCCATGTTTGCTTGATGGATTATGTTTTTTTTGGGTTGGGTGGATCCGATCCAATCCAATATAAAAAAAAAAAAAAAAACTAAAACTAAAAAAAATAGAGTAAGTTTAAAAATATATATATTAATAAAACAATTAATTAATTAAGATAATTAATTTAGTTTATGAGTAATACCATTAATTAACTTTAATTGAAATAAATTAGTCATATTTATTGTTCTTAATTTAAAGATAATTGTGTTTTAATTGTTTTGATCGAAGATTAAATAATGTGATTAATTAATTTTAATTAATGTCAAATTAATCATTTAATGAAATTAATTGTCATGATTAATTAATTTAAATCTTTAATTTCTTTTAATCTAAATCTTTGAATTTTCTTTAATTTTAGTCAAAGTCAAAATTATTTTTGTTTATTTTAAATTTCACCCAAAACTTTCGTGATTAAGGAATTTAGTCTATGGATTTCAACTCTTTTCAAATCAATCCTCTATTTTTTTTAATTTAATTAAATTAGTCTTTTAACTTTTCATTTATGTTTTTTGTGCATGTATGTCTTTGATTTAGCCCACGTTAGTCCCAAAAATTTAAAAATGTTTCAATTTGGTTTATTGTGTTTTTAAGTTTGCCTATTAATACTTAAACATAAATATAATGATTAAGTTGAATCAAACCCCAATGTTAAAGTATGCAACCGTGTTTAAATGGAGGATTGTAAGGTGCGCGTATGCTCTTCTTTACTTTTAACCGAACTCCTGAACCCTGATTTTTGTGCATATCTGTTTTTAGGTGATTTGTCTCACCTTATAATTTGGATGAGTGGCGACTCCCTTCTTCTACATTTTCAACAGTTAGTCTTAAGTGATCGTCAACAGATTGGCCACTCCACTGGGGACTCGAACCTAGAATCTCTAGTTTCCATATTTTGGGTTCACGAGGGTCGAGCTAATACTTTAACTTTGGAAGAATTTTTCAACTTTTGATTTTCTTTGTTTGTTGAGTCTTTGTTGGTCTTTGTCGTTTGTTGCATGTGCTTGTTGTGTGGTGATTGTTGCTTGTTCGCTTATTGTTTTGGTGATTGCTTTGATTGTTTTACTTTCAAGTAGTTATCTTGCTATATCTTGACAAGCATCATGCCTTGCTCACATGTTCATGCGTCATATCATCTCATATGCTCATCCATCATTGATATTATATTCTTATTCATCATGCATCATGCTTACATGCCTACTTGCTTGTGTGTGGATATACTTACCTTTTACACTTGGCTATGGAGTACTTAGTGAGTCTCTTCCCTCATGTGCGATTATTTATATTTTGTTGCATGCCAAGTGTTGGTTGCTTTGTCTTACTAACCTTTTGCATTTGGCATGAGAGTACTAAGTGAGTCCTTTCCTGCTGTGTAAGTAGGTTTGTTTGTGGGTGCTATATCTATTGAGTGCTTTACATGCTTTATTTGATTGTCGTGGGATATATGTTGCTATTTTTGTGGTTGCCATTATGCAGGTTATTGAAGTGTCATGCCTCTTGCACACACCCACTATCATTCTACATCAGGTCCATGTCGGAGGTGAGCCCAACCTCTAGTCTAGAATCCTTACAAATCTGACTTGGAAGAGCAATTCTTCCTGCTTTGAGGAGTAAGATCGTTTCCCGTTAAGTTATTTCCATTGGTTTATATGACACTTGATGATGTAATATCATCTTGTGTATTAGCTTTTGGAAATATCTCCATTGATTTCGAAAGGATAAATGGTTGAGAAGGCCTAATGCTCTTTAGGAAAACATATATTGACCTTAGAAAGGTGCCAACCCTAGGACATGTTTCCTTTAGCATCCCACCCATGAGGCTAGACGTCTCGTGTTTAGGACACAAAAGGGGCATTTTACTTCACTAACCTTTGTTTGCGCATATGGCAGCTTATTTTTGTACACTTAATGAGGTATGGCATGTGAGGGTATGATTTATGTTTAACTTCCTTAAGCCTTTTGTTTAGGTAATGTCATGCATTACACATGGATTCTATCAAGGATACAACTAGACAAGGGAAGAGATGTGGTGAAGATGTCACATCTCATTCTACTACTAAGAGAGCTAAGGAGTCAATCTTTTCATTCAATACCTCCAAACTCGACTTGAAGTTGTTGAAAGAGGCTTATGGCTTGTTGTCCTCTAGGGAAAAGCATGACTTTGAGGTTTGATTTGGGTGCATTGGGGATTTGTTGTTAGTGGTGTTGGATTGGGATTTGTTTAGAGCCATGTTGAAATTCTATGTGCCAAAATGTCAAGCTTTTGGTGTTTCCACATTTTGAGTTGGTGCCCACCATTGATGAGTATCATCACTTCCTGTGGTGTAGTCTTGTGATGGATTCTTGTACCTTTACTCCTCAAATACAACTTGATCAACTTGGACGAAAATTTATTACTTGGGAGCTTTTGTATAAACATTAGAAATCTAGATTTGTCAAAGAAAACTTGCTTGAATGAATACAATCTTTCTTCTTGGTCAAAAGTGTATCCAATGAAGTAAAATCCATGATTAGGATAGAAATTTTCATTTTTCAAGTCTCATATCACATATACATATTCATTTGATTATACATGATCACTCATTATCTTTATCTGGTCATTTTGTGTTTAGTTCTCAAGCCTTTTTTATTTGGACTATCTATGATCTTTGAAAAGAAATATGGATTCTCACACATCCAGGACACAAGCTTCTTTACACAAGACTTTGTTGGAGTATTCTGCCCGTACTCAAAGGCTCAATGAACAGACCATCTCTTATCTGCACCAGTTGACTAAGGACAATGAACACCTTCGCAAAGCCAATGAGCACCTTCGCAAAGCCAATGAGCAGTTGGAAAGGCAACTACAAGACATGACTATCGACTGTCATTACCATGGAAGATGTGCACTGTCAACTCTAAGCCTGGAAGCAAAAGAACCAAACTCTTGTTGAAGAGAACACTAGCTTGCGTGAAGTTGTCAGCGACATAACCGCTTTGGTGACTCAATTTGAAGAGAGGATAGTCGAGACTCATCATCACATTGCTTAAAAGACCCATCCGTTTGAGAGGGGATTCTTTTAACCAGTCTTCGACTTTATCATTGACATATTTAAGAGTTTGTATCAGGATTTGTGTTTTGTAATGAAAGATTGTAAGCACTTTAAATGCAACTTTGTAATGCTTGCCAACTTTGTTTAAAGTGCATTCATTTAGTTAAGCACAAATCATGCAACTCATTGTAAAAACAAGAAAATATCTTTGTACAAGATGGGAACGTCGATGTGAGAAGCCATATCTTCAAAGAGCAAGCTGATGGTCCAATCAAAAGGGGCTAAAGTCTTTTTAGTTTTCTAATTTTTTTTTCCTTTGTCTTTACATTTCTGTTGGTAGGTAAAAGTTCCTTTAATCATAGCTCCAAGGCAGAAGATCTTCAAAAAGCGACGTTCTCCTTATTTGCTCAGATCTAGATTAATTAAAATGTCCAAAGAAAATACTGCTACTAATTCGTAAAAATCTGCTATTGATGAAAAGGTTGATAAATTGGAGGCTACAATGCAAACTATGGCTATGACTCTTCAGGCCATTAGTCTCACTTTGTCAAATCTGACTACTAGTTCTGTTTCTTCATTTGCAGCCTTGGTGCCTACAACACCTGCCCCATCTGTTCCTATTCCATCATCTACCATCACATCGGGTAGTCGTGCTAAGCCCCCGTTTGATATAGTGGTTTTGGGGTAGGTTAGCGGTTTTACCTAAATCGCTAAATATAGGTGTTTGGTAAATTTATATATTTTGAAATCGCTACAACTAAAGTGTTTGGTAAAATTTTTATTTAGCGGTTTGAGACTAACGAATAACAGTTAGGGTCTAAAT